CGATTCGGGCCAAATCTTGATTGGTGGACAGGACATTCGTGAAGTGGATTTGGCCAGTCTCCGCAAGGCTATTGCTGTCATCCCTCAGGTAGGTGTTGCCTGCCTAGTCGCATCAGTGGTTTTTGCTTTGATCTTTAACAAACCCGCTGTTGCTGCCAATATGCCGTCACCATAATTAATACTATTGGTGATGGTCTGATATATGGCCCCACTAAGACACCACTATTCATACCATTATAGCTATTGCCGCTACCACAACTAATAATATCGACCTCACGGCTGCTTAAATTATCAATGCGTCTATCCGCCCCAAAACTTTAATGACTGCTACTATAATTACTACTATCATTAATACTACTAATATTGCTCACTCCCTTCACGCATCCCTCAAGATTGGATGTCAACCTCAGCGTTCGGTATAGGTTTAGTATTTGGCCGTTATGTATTAAGGGTTGCAGTTAGAGGCTAAAGGTATAGCCGTGCATCTGTACGGTCTGTACTTCTATACGGACTCAAATGCGCATAGGCTATGCACATGGAAGATGACTTGGGACTGTAAATTCTTGATCACTACTGCTTAAGGACCATCCTTCGAGTCAAGTACACAGACTTCATCTTCAATGAGACAGTCCGCACTCGCTGCGACAACATTGAAAGGGTATCCCAGGCAGTCGAACAAGGATGACTGAGGTGGTTTGGACACGTTCTTTGCCGTCAACCTCACAAGCTCAGTGTTACTGTCCTCGACCCGAAGCCGTTACCTAATTGGAGACGTCAAAGTTGGAGTCAGCTCAAAACCTGACTCGACTCAGTCCGTCAAGACACGTAAGTGGTTCTTGGATCTTCGGTATTGGGTCTCCGGCTCTGGCGTAGAGAAGGGCTTGAACTGTCCAGGTTCACTGCCACGGATTGTCACGCATGGAGAGGTACCGTCCGTGTCATCATCGAGGCTGGCTAGATCAGTCATGATCGCAGCCGCAACAAGTACAAGTAATACAGAGTTAGAAAGAGGCAGGGATAGCCTTAGGCTTGGGGAGTTAAAGGTTGGAGTTATGTCATCAGTATTCCCAATTTTAATCCTTTTTTTCATTCGTGACTATCATGCGATGAGCGTATTTGGTCATCCTGGACTGGTTTCGCCTGGAAAACCCAGACGAATGCCCCGGGTTTTCTTATTGTTCACCCATTTCCACCTCCTAATTTTCGATAATTCAAATTGTAGACTTGTTTTTTTCTGCCTGTAGCGAATTTTTAAAAACTCTTTTGCTTCCTGGATTTGATAGGGCAAGGCTACAACTAAGTCCATATTCCAGATGGGCTTGGGCTTACGTTTCAGAGCTATGTTTATGGTATTCAGGATTAGG